CGGGAAAGATTTCCTAGCTTTTCAAGTTACAACGTCGATTGACGACGTCTAGTTAGCGGTGGTTGACGGAGGTCGACGGTGATCGACGGTAGTCGACGATGACGAGGATGATATGGACTTGAGCTCCTTTTCGAAGCCTCAACTTCTCTCTTAAGCCTCCTCCCTTCATGTGAGGGGTGAGGCTCTATTTATAGTGTTTTGGGTGCAATTAATGCAAGAATATGAATCATTTTGATCGGACGGTCCGGAGAGCTTCCCTTGATTGGATGATGTTTGATGAACATTTGAGTGCCTTAACAATGTCGGAATTGAGCAATCTTGGGTTCTTTGGATTCGTCTTATCGAGACGCTCGATTCGACTATGAACTCGCTAAATTCGACATTCGTTTGATCTTTCAAATATGTCCAAAAATCTTCTAAGAATAATTTAATAACTTTATTTGGGCTTGATTTGACTCAAATTGGACTAACTTTCATATCATTAGGTTCGTCTCATCGAGCCGATCAGTTTGACTATAAGTTTGATGAAATCAGAGCTCTGAATTACTTTTTATCAAGATTTGAGTATCTCTTGCTCAAAATATTGCCTTGAGATTCATGACGGATGGTGAAAATTTGTTGGTGGTGTATCAAATTCATTAAAAATTAGATGTTTAGATATGTGAGTATGTAAAAATTATGTCACGTATATAAGCGCTTCTTTATTAAAATAACAAATTTGTCCATCGTATAAGAAAATAAATTTATTATAAGTAGTGAAAGTCACGAGTCACCTAACCTGACCCAGTCCAAAACAACAGATGATGGCATCAGTGAAATTAACGTAGATAATCAGGGGCATTGCTGGAAACAAATATATTCTGGCATGATTGCATATTAGCATTATAGCCATTAGAGATTTACCGCTCGCTCTTCTTCCTGAAATCCTGTAACCTAAGTCACGAGAACCTAAAGATCAGTTTTTTCAACTCTGGCCAGTCTTTTTTTATTCCTCTGAAAGACTTCATCATTCCCGAAATAACTTTAATCTATTATTAAAATAGCAGGTAATATTCTATTGATATCGAGGGTAGATTCGTCACGAGAGTCAATTTATACTGCCCCTCGTCCCTTGGTCATACCCTCCTCAATGAGTATTGACTGGCTCTGGTTTCCACTTCATACTCTCAGTTCCTTTTCTCTTCTCTCCTAGGCTCCTGGTAGGGTTTCACTCCAACGAGATTTAGGGTTTTCAATCTTCGGACTGTAAGTTGAAATCTTTCAATAGCTTTATTTTTTTCTTAAACTACCATCAAAATCGTTCATTTTGGTGGCATGTTTCCGAACTGATTCATTTCTTCTCTACATTTATTGTGCTTTCTGCTCAAAATCGTTTTTTTCCCCAAGTTTTGCCTTTTTAATTCATGTTCTGTTGGCTTGGGCTAAGACTTATTTGTTGTTTGGAAGTTGGGATAGCACATCGATTTTTTGTGCCTTCGTCACATGCTTTGTTGATCGCTGTAAAATTTAGGGTTTTTTTTTTCAGGATAGGAAACGAGAATCTGAACTTTTACTTGTGATCCTGATATTATTAGCAGCATGAGGTGGCCGAGCTTCTCCGTTGGTGTCTACCGGAAAGTGGTTTCCCTTAACAACTTGTATTGCAGAGTTATTCTTTAATTTGTCTTCGTTATCGCTGATATATTTTCTGCAGAACCTTTTCTCAAGCTTCTTTCGATCTTTGGGACCAATTTTTCTTTCTTTCTAAAACAAGCTAAAACTCCCTCTCTTGAACACAAAAAGGCCTCTCCTTTTCCCTTTCCTAGTCTTTCTTGAGCCTATAGATTTATCCATTTTTGTCTCCTACCTTTAATTACCCAGCGGCTCTCTGGTAAACGGTCCAACTTGAAGGGAAAAAGAGTAGTTATGGTGTGCCAAGCAGCAACTAAGACAAGATTTCAAGCATTGAAGCATGAAAATGGGTTTGCTGGAGGTGCCACCATTATAGTTAGAGTCATAGTTTGCTTTCAACCGCTGCAGGATTGTCAGGTACTTATTAAAATGGAAAATTCCTAATTTGATTTTGGTGCTTAATTGTTCTTCCTATCATTATCTGTTTATTCCTCGAAACATCTAACTGTTTTGATTCAGATGATTTTAATGTGTTAGGCTGAGTATTTTCGACATCTGTTGAAGCCGGTTACGTAGATTTCCTTCCATTTTCGTTTCCATTGGAATAAAGCTGAGACTTTTGTAGTCTATTGTTATAGAGCATCAGTGCTTAAAGAAAGCTTAATCACTGCATTTTCTTGGGTGGGTAATTCATTCTTCTTCAGTTGAAATATGATGCTATAGCATTTTATTTATGCTGATTCAAGCTGGTTTCCCATTGTTTGTGTTTCAGGTTATTTAGTTTTGTCTTTCTTTTCTGTGTTAGATGTGGAAATATAGTAACTTGAATTCAGGCTATAACCATTGGCCCCCAGATGTTGGGAAACAACAGTTTAATCCAGATTCCTTGGTATTTCCAACATATACCAATACCATTCGCTGCTTTTCCAGGAGTTCTAGCACTCCATTCCTCCCTGGTTTTGGAGTTCAGAGGAGTCCCCTTAATTTGAACTTAGATGATTCCTTTTCCTTTGGACAGAATACCTCCACTCCTGCAAAGAGGTTCCTTGTTTTTGATCATTCTTGCGATAAAAAAATCTAGAATTTTTGTTATGTGGCGAATCCATTTCAAACTCTGAACCCAACTCTACCTTCAAGCAACGCTAGCTATGCTTTTGCCTCTAATTTCTATATCAATGGCGTACAGGAAGAGATGCATGAAGACACAGATGAAATTGATGCGCTCCTTTATTCAGATTCTAAATTTTCATTTGATTCAGAGGAAGCCAGCACTGGACATTCCCCCTTGAATATGAATGTTAAAGATGTTATCAGCTCCTCAATTCCTGCTAAACGTCGCAAACTGAACCTTGATCATTCCCCCATTGATGAATCTCTCATTGACACTGAGAGCCAGCCACAGCTTCCAATTTCCCAATGACTAAATCGGATGATAATGCAGACATAAGCTATGTTTACAGTGGCAATAGCGTGGACGGTGGTGATCAGGAGAGGATTCACACCATCATAAATGTTTTGAGGAAGATTATACCCGATGGAGAGGCCATGGATGATGCTGCATTGCTTGACGAGGCCATTCTTTATCTAAGTTACCTCAAGCTTGAAGCAAATTCTCTGGATGCCCCAACTGAAAGCATCTAAAAGCGTTTAGCAGACCTTTTTGTTTTCAAATATTAGTAGAAGTTTGTGTCTGAAGATTAGAAAAAAAGGCAACTTTAGGCCATGAAAACTTGATTGTGCACGTATGTAATGATACAGGGGGTGGGAGGTAAATTATATATAATAAAGAGGATTGCATGCTGACTTGGGCCTTCTTTTGACCGGAGAAGCGTGCGGGTTATGTAATGATGATTTGTGTTGAGGATTATGGAAGACAATTGAGTTTGGAAGCTGGGATTGGTAATTTATGTTTTTTGATTGTTGGCCAATTTCTATATGAATTTAAACAGTTATAAATTAAAAATAAGAATTTGCATAAAAAATGCAATTTATCTTGTATAATGCTCTATGTATTTAAATCTAGCATGTAAAACTTGATATCTATAATTATAAAATTTTGATGGCATAAATATGCACATGAAAAAATGTGTTTTAGTTTTAAAAACTAGTGATATTATTATTGTAATATTAAATATTTAGAGGCTTTTACGTACATACCACAACTTTTATATATTTACCTAACTAACAAAAGCACCACTCAAATTTTTATTTCACATCAAAAAATTTTAACTAACTAATTAAAAAGTGAAATATTCATTTTTATGCATTGATTTTTATATAATTATCAATTTTTATTCATTAGATGTGTAAATGTTCAAAATATGTATGTAAATTTCATAATTTTTTTATCTAGGTATAGATCATGTTTTATATGTATATGTAATTGAGAATTATGATGCTCATTGTTAGCAGGGTGGGGCCTAGGTCGTGTATGAAAGTAATTAGGTCTTCACACATTTGGTCAAGCAGAGGTGTTTGTACCCTACCAAAATAAAAATTATTCTGCCCTAATTACTAGTAACATTATTGTCATGATGGTGGGGAGCTTTTCATGAGGCAAACTAACGCACCTGTAACAATATTGAGAGAGTGGACACTTAAGATAGATTTTAGCCGAGCACGTTATTTAGAAAATATAAAAGATTGGTCTACTTAGGTAAATACCACCCAAGTTCTAATATTTGCATGTGAGACATCTAGATTTTACTTTATATAATTATATTTAGATCATTCAAAATTTTCATTTTACATTAAAAATATCATTATTTTATTTTCTTAATGATAAATTTCACATTACTATGTAAGATGACAATATATATATATATATATAGGAATTGAGTGATATGCATTTAAATCATCCTAAATTTTTGATAGTTTTGCTAAACTGCATTTTTTTTTAATATGAAGGCAAAGTTTAGCAATACTTAATCTTGATCTGTAAGTTAATCACTCCCAAAGAATTCACACCCAATGAATAGAGTGTATGACAAGAGAGAAAAATAGAGAGAGAGAGAGAGAGAGAGAAAGAGTCAGAGAGAAATGAAAAATGGTCCTCTATTTTTGAAGAATGGAGGTATCATGTATGAATTTATATATATGCATGCTTTTATAGGGAGTTGTACAGGTTATTACGGGTATTTTATACATGTTAGCCTAGAGTCTAGAGGATCTAAGTCTCAAATGGCTAGACTGGCAAGTCATTTGACAGGTGTTGTCGGTCGGCTAACCAAGAGAGACCCGTTAGTCGACTTAGTCCGGAGACTGTCGATCGTTTCAGTTGATGCAAGCGGTTGATTAGATTCTTACTGTTGAGAGGTGCACAAAGTCTCCTCAGTCAGCTAAGTGGGGTCGATCATTTGATCAGGTCTTCCCCTCGACCTTCAATCCCTACAAGGAGCTTCTATCGGTTGGAGGAGCTAGGCTATTGGGCAGAATTTGTATCACCATAACTCAATAGGTAGCCACCAATGTGTGAAGAGATATTGGGGGATGGTTGGGATTTGCTTTAGATTCTTGATGATGTTCGGAGAGGTTGCAAAATGCCTCAAAGAGAATTGTGAGATTCGAGAGGTTAGCTATTTCCGTTAGGTTGGTTCCATCACAGTGATGTTCATATATTCTTGTATGCTCAGTGATCGGTCAACTGCTTAGGTTCGAGCTGCTTAACTGCCTTATTTAATCATGATCTTGACGCTTTTGATCAGACATATGGGCCTCCGAGTCTCGTGTTGGTAGGCCCTCTTTTGACACATCTTTTCCTGCTTTTGTCATTATATCTCTTCTAAATTTGTGATGGTATTTTTTCTGTGCACAATAAAAAAAACTGTGTTTAACATATTGGTTAGGTCTAACAAAATAATTAGAAATAAAATGCTCAAATATGTAGAGCGAAATAAAATGAATAATCTCGAAGTGTTTAGTTGGGGCACTCACACGGCCAGGAAAAATAAAAAACGTGTGAGACAACATTTTATTCACTTTCATTTCATCATTAATAGGCCCCCAACCCATCAAGATTTATGGACGATCCCTTTCCATAAAAGGCCAGCCCATAAGAATTGTCACACCTCGCAAAGTATTTCTTATTTAAACTTAGGGTCCGTTTGGGGCAGCTTGTGCGTTTCAGGATAAGCTGCCCCAAATGCTGCCCGCGGGCCGGCTGAGGGGGTAGACCTGCGGTTTGCGTTTAGTATAAAAACCCATACGCAGTTTTGAATAAACTGACGAAATGCGCAAACCAAACCGTACGACGGTGTTTTGAAAACGCCGCCCGCACTTATAAGTTGTCCCAAACGAACCCTAAGTACCTGAAAGTAACTTTTGCAATTGAATAAATCCTACAGGTATTCCCCAAATTCTCTCACCGAATTCACATTGTGAGACTTTGTTCTGTTTGAAGGAATCTCAATAGAGGGAACAAAATTAAAATCTTATAATAATTGATTAGTTTTAGTCACTTGATTTTGTTGACTAAATGATTCTTATACATTTATCAAGTTATTGTATTTAGAGAAATTCTACTGTTATTTGATAATGCCGTGATTTTTTATGATAATATGATAAAATTCTCAAATTCACTTAAACCAATTTTGTCATCATTTGTCCCTATAATTAGGATTGTCAAAACAGTTCGTTGTTCATGAACAAACTGAGTTCGGCTCCTTTAAAACCTCATATTCGATTCGTTCGCTAAATTAACGAGTCAAATCAGAACATTTTTTTTGTGCTAAATATATAAACGAGCCAAGCACGAACAAAGATTTGTTCATTCATGTTCGGCTCGAAATACTATTTATCAATTATATATAAAAATATATAATTAAAATTATATATAGATATATATATTGATGAGCAGTTTTTTTTTTTTTTAAATTAATTGACTATAAGGTTACAAAGATTTAAAATCAATTAAAATTATTAATTAAAAAAAATAAAAATAAATTAAATTATATATAAACAAATAAGATTTAAATCTTGCCCCAAATCTTAACATCCTATGTTGTGTGATTAGTGTTGTCAAAATGCTAAACAAATGAGCCGAACAAGAACACACTTTTTGTGTTCAAAAGATAAACAAGTCAAACATAAACAATGATCTTTTTAACGATCCGAACACAAGTGAGGCCAAACACGAGCTAAGCCTAAACTTGCCCGTATTTGATTCGTTTACACCCCGACCCGTGATCCCTAACAAATGCATAACTTGTGTAATCTAATGTTTCGGTAGAACTTAAAGCACATATCAAAAGTTTTATTTATTTTTAAATTAAGAAAAAAAAAACCTGCAGTATTTGGTGAATATTTTTCTCAACAAAATCAACTTCAACGGACTGAAAATGATTCTCCACCCACCCTTTTTCTTTCAACGTTTCTGGGCGAGATATTTCTCAACCAGAGCAGGTCGTCCATGGCTTTCAATTCCCCCGTCTCTACCCTTTCTCTACTTCCCTTCTCAATCACTCTTCAAAAAAAAAAAAATTTTTTCTTTGTAGGATCACGAGAGCTTAAATTTCTCATCTTGAAAACTTTAATTTAATCTTCGACGAAATACGCCACGCATCATCCGACTGCATCAATCTTTCTTCATCTTTTTCTTGTATCTTTTGCTTTTGTCTCCACTCATGAAGCGGTGAGATCGATCGAGAAAGAAGGGGAGAAGGAGAATGGGGAGCAAAGGAGGCGCGCTACAACCACCGTCTTCTCCGCCGTCCAAGCCGACACTTTGTTGCTTGTGCGGTGACCGTGGATTCTCGCGAGACCTCTTTCGCTGCAAACTCTGTTTCTTCCGCTCCCAACGTAAGTAGGTGAAAGAATGTGTTCGGTTTCAAATGGAATTACTAACAAATATTGGAAAAAAGTTAAATTATGATAAGTATTATATTTGATATTGCAGCGATCTGTACCCAAGAGCAGAGTTCTATCGAGCCTGTAATTTCTGCCTGAGGGAGGAGACAGAAAAGAAGCAAATTTCGACAGAACATACTAGGGTTGATCGAATTAGTTCAGCTCTTTCATCTCCGTTAGCACACGGTACCAGCTCTGCTCAGAATTGAAGCTTACGAGCGGAGCTTTCTCCCCGCATCTTCTAGACAGACCAGTGAAGAAGCGGAGAATGGGACCGGCGGCCGCAGCGCCCCCAGCCACTGGAAGAATCCGGCGACCGGGGTGGCGGCGAGGAGCTGTTGCCGGGTTCTGGGAGGGGAAGGCAGGTCTTTAGAGGGAGGGTGAAAAGGTACAAGCTTTTGGATGAGGTTTCTAGCTAGCTTGGCTATTACTAAATATAGCACTGATTCATAATTTTGAAAAAAAAAAACAGAATTTTGTTAGAGATATGTAAATATATAAGAATTTGTATAAATCTCAAGGAGCTTAGGTATTTATGCTAAGAATTGTATTGGACTTGCTGAATCTAAATGTCATGTTGATCGCAACCAAGACAGAGCGTAAAATCGATGAATGAAATAAAGAGAGGGAGAAAGAGGAAGAATGAGAGAGTGTCCACATTAACATAAAAGTTTTGATAAAGTAAATTCAGTAATCTTTTATTTGAGAAATGTTCTCTTATTTATAGGTCTCTGAGGTATATGGTATAATATTACTTGTTTCTCCCTATTTTAATAGGGGCGTTATAAGTTATTATGGACATTTTCATATTTGTAATGATTACAACATGCTTTCATATTCATAACTAATATTAACACCATTTCGTGTTCATAATTGTTTTAAGAGGGGCATTAAATGACCTATTAATCTTGTCATTCGGTCGGCTAAAATATAATCATTCGACTCTCTTAATGGAATCTTGAGTAGAGGTCCTCGTCATTAGATTGAGTGTATCATCATAATCACATGGGTAGCTTTACTTAGACAAAAGATCTTCTCAAAAGACTAGAAAGATGTTTTGTGGGATGCCATTTGGCCATCTTTGTAAAGAATTCCAGAATCGGTCATGAACGACTATTATACCCATTTAGGTGTCTTCAATTTGTTTATCGACTATGCTTCTGTTCGGTCAGCTCAAGCTCTGACCAAATGAAATGACGCTTGACGGTTCATTCTTTTTACTATCTTGAGACACTGTTCATTGATGTTTACAAACAAGATTTGTTGGATATCTTTGAAATATGTGCAATCATATTTTTTATGTAAGGGAATATTTATACTTTCTTCCTAATGTAGTTTAGATAATTTAATGGCACAAAGAAAAATATGTGTTATTTATTATAATTATAAAATTAGAGAGCATATTTTGTCGATTATTAAGTTGTTTATATTAAACTAAAATATCTATTTACGCTAAATTAGCTGGAGTAGCTCAGTTGGTTAGAGCGTGTGGCTGTTAACCACAAGGTCGAAGGTTCAAGCCCTTCCTCTAGCGTCGCACTAGCTCTTAACATATTTTTTTTTATAATTGTATTTACATACATATCACATAATTTATAATTGTATTTACATAACTAATACCTAAAATTAAATATTTAATTATGTCCATAGCACTTAATGTTGAATATAATATTAAATATATCCCTATCATTTATTAAACATATCCTTATCATTTATTAATAAGTACACGTGAAAGTTTAGGGGTTAGGAAAATAAACATTTGAGAATTTTTTGGTATGTACATAAAATTTCCCTTTTTTTTTTAATTTAAAATGTTACTTATGCAAATAATTAACACAATATAAGCGATAATTACCTATGCACATAATTACTCAACTTAACTCCCCAATTTGGCTGTAACTTAAGTTAATACACAATATGTCATTTACTTTTGGAATAATTACATTATAATATTATTTTAACCGACATAAATAACTATTAACTTTGGACCCTTTCTGCCTACGTGGAATTAAGAATAACAACACATAAATTTGTTTAGAAAAAAAATGACTGTACGCATAAAATATGTTTGCACTAATTTTGAAGAGATTCGACCGCAAGAGAAGAGATTGCCTGATACAAGAGAAGATTCAAATTCTTGGATCGAGTTGGAATGCAGCAGTTGCACTCAATTTTTGACATATCATGTTTGTATTATGATATACAATCATTGATATAAGAAAATAATTATTTTAAAATCATTTAATTTTATATTTACTGTTGTCAGTATCTTCTTTTAACTTCTCTAAGAAACTCATCAGTTAAATCTATTATTTATCTTTGGGCAATAACTTCGATACCAATGAATTCCATTCATTTAACAAGCCAATTCTTCTATTGCATGTCTAAAATTAATAAATTATAGTTAAATATGCTAATAAACTATATACATAATAAAATTTTTACATAAATTTTGATTTGGATATGAATTGTTGTTTTTTAAATGTTAGTAATTAAGAAATATCTACATGTTTATTATTATTATTTTTTTTGTTATAATGTTTTGGAATATTTATATGCATACATCATAATTCTTACATATTTTCATATCTAACAACTAAAATTTAATTATTATATTTATACAACTCATATCTTTCTTATTACATAAAATATACCATCATTTTAGCATTTCAAAAGTGAAATATAGTTTTTCATGAAAGGTGACATGCCTTAAAAACTAAAATTCAACACTTGCGAATGTGAATTAAATTAATCAAATAAAAATTAAAAATAACTTATTTTTTTTTTATACAAATTGACAGTCAACAATCGAAATCACTCGTTTGGCCGACAATTTTGTCAAAATTTTTTTTTAAAGCCATTTTCATGAAAAATATATTTATCATATCAATTTTAAAAATGTGGTCAAAATTTGAATGGTCTAAATATAAAAGTAAAGTTAGGGGTTAGATTTAAAACTATATAAGAATTGGGTTGAACGTATGTAAAAAAAAATATAAATACATTCCACGAAGTTTATATATTTAACATCTAATTTTTTTTATTTATATAAATAACGCTAAATTTTATATATCATACTAAAAATAGCCAAACTTTGGAAAAGGCCAAAAGAGAATGCGAATTTGGATTCCCAAAGCTATTTTTATGTCCTCCTGTAGCCTCTCCCGGTCAATCAAACTCCTTATCCCTCCGCCAACAGCCACCGTTACCGTTCCCGCCGACACCGCCGCTTCCCTCTGTGTTCCTCCCCGGGGAATAACTCGCCACTCTTCCGTTCCTCTCTCGATTTTCCGGCGGCCGGCTTATTTGTCGCTTTCGCGGCGTCCTCCGTCGCGTCGCTGTTTCTCTCTCGGGGCACAAATGGCGGAGGAGAGCGTATCTTATCTCTCGCAGAAGGAGGCCGCGGAGATTGATGAGATTCTCATGGGTTCTCTTGGCTTCAGTGTCGACCAGTTGATGGTGGGTTCTTCTTCATTTTGTGATTAGAAGTTTAATGCACTGTACGCATTTTCTTTCACTATCTCAATCGCGTTGGATTCTAACTTCAGCTGTCTCACTTTCTTGCGCTAGGAATTGGCGGGATTGAGCGTCGCTGCATCGATTGCTGAGGTGTTTATTGATGTTCTTCCGTTTTTCTATTTTTTATTTTTATTTTTATTTTTTGGATATGAGCCTAGTTTGGTGCTACACATGCGCCAATTTATTGTTTGTTTCATTTTGCATCGCTTTAGAGAAATAAACTGCTTATATATGATTGTTACCTTCAAAAGTTAGAAAGTGTGATTAAACCACAAGATAAATGGATAAATCATCATATTCATGGATTGGTTTTAGAAGGGAGCCTTATAAAGTGGGTTGAATGTGGAATTCATTGAAAAATATATGTATTGGAATTGGGAACATTAATTTCAATTATTCAGACCAAGTTTAGTCCATTTCAAAAAAACTGCACTTGGATGGGTGCAAATGAGGTGTGCTTCTAGGGGCCCACTTCATGTTCACTTTTAGTGCAGATAAGTGGGAGTTCAGACTATGGCAGGGAATTAGGAGATGTACAGGAGTTTTGATTACCTGGATTGTTCCTGCAGGTGGTGTTGAAAGTTTGTACTTTGGAATTTCTGGTTAGTCATATCTAGATTACTTGAAGTTATGTAGTAGTAATGTAAGGTTTAACTTGTTTTGTTTCATTCCCTTTCAGCTTGGAAAGGCATTTAAATTACCAACACCCATTAGAAGATAGAGTGAAGATTAATAGTTTTGACATTTACATTATTCATATATAATTTGCAGTTTTTTACAATGGATTTTGAGTTAGAACTTTTGATGAGCTGACATGAGTAAGTAATGTTAATAACTTATCATGTCCATCTCATCATCATAAGTGGCATTATTTCAACTATTTGGGGTTGGTTTTAATGATATGTTATGGTCTCTTTTATCATCTAGCAAAATTTTGCTGAACAAGACAATGTGCGCTTTAGCATTTCCCAAGATGTTGCTAGAAATGGGAAGTAGGTGATTTAGTTTTGACTTGTTTGCTCCACCACGTTTTTAACTCTAGTTTCTCTACTTGGGAATTTTCAACGCTTCCTTAGGCCCATATGGGCGGGAGATCTATGCATTCGGTATGCCCTTGTTATCAATAATTAGAACTATTGGAAATATAATATCTAAAACTATTTCATTATAGTTTCAATATGTGTTTTTTTTTCATTCCTTCGGATTTCACAAGTTTCTTTTTTATTTTGCGTAAAGCTATCACATAATGTTATTTTAAAATTTTCCTAGAATTTGTGTGCACGACTTTATTTAAAGTTATTTTTCAATCCAACCAACTCCCTATATTTTTGTGTGTGCTGGTCTTAAACAAATATATTTAAAGTTGTAACACTAAGACGATCTACATGTATTTTATGTAAAGCTACATAAAATAGGACGCTAAACAATAGGCTATAGCTTAAATGTACCGTGAACTTGGGTAGTTCTTCTAGTAGGTGGATTGCAAGTCCCACTCATCTTGCCTTATGTTGCTTTGTGTAACTAATCATCAACATCTTCATATCTCAACTATTTGATTTGTTATGAATCATCATAATTTTTATCATTAGTCCTGTTCCAACATTTTTGGTGCAATTAATGACCAGTATCATTACTCTATCATTATTGTTGAATGATAATGTTTCTTTGAGTAGTAGGATGGTGCAACCTCCACCCCTCGCCCTCCCCCTCTTTCTTTTTATGATTCCTCATCCTTTATTTATTCCGTTGAGTGTTAAACTTTAAAATTTATTTTAGTGCGCAACACTTTTTAATTTTATTCTATATTTCATCCATTGATTTTTTTATCCTTCCACATTAACTTTATTATCTCTTTTATTAGTGCATCTTCTATTCTCCATTGCATAACACAAATCTTTTAAGGGCAATTTGATTGCAAGTATTTAAAAATATGGCATTTTTAATTTAGGGGTTGTTTTGTTTGCTGGAAAGGTAATGCAGCGTAAAATAAATACAATACAATAGTAATGTATTGCATCTGAAATACTATGGAGTTGTTTGGTTTAGTTTAAAATAAACTTACAACTCATATTCTTTTGTTTGATTTGAAGTAGAATGAAAATAATTTATCTTAGTTATGCGAGGTCTTACATAAATTTTTGGTGCCCAGTGGCGTGGTGGGTGGGGACGATGTTGGTGGCCACAGACGACGACTGGTGGTGGCGTGCAACAATGGTGATCATTGTCGACAAAAGTGGTGGCCAGCGGCGGTGTGTAGCTGCGACAATGGGGTAGGCTACGACCAATGGAAGTCGGTGGTGACAGACAATGGTGGTGGGCGATAGTGGTTTTGTATAGGTTGGAGACGACAACGGTTGATAACACTTATAATGGTGGTGAGTACCGTCATCAGAAGTTCAGGAATTTTTGTGCTGCAGAGGGGGTTAGACATGATTTCACTTTCTCAAGGACACCACAGTAGAATGATGTAGTTAAGCGCTGAACAAAATAATAACGGAGCATGCTATGAGTATAAGACTGCATGCAGGCTTGTCAAAACAGTTTTGGGCTGAAACAGTTAACATTATTGTTTATCTGATAAATAAACCGAAGTCCATCTGTACTTTTGAAAAAAAGGCTTACCTGATGAAGCTCGGAGTCACAAAAATGTGTGTTTATCTCATTTAAGAGTATTTGGGTGTTCTGCATATGTGCATGTAGATGTAGGGTCTAGAAGCTAGCTTGACTCAAAATCTGTTAAGTGCACTTTCATTTGATATGACTCAAATGAGTTTGGGTACAAATTTTGGGATTATCATAATCAATAATTCATCAGAAACATGGATGCCACTTTTAACAAAATGAAGATGTACAAAGATATGGCTAGAACTCAACATATTACGTTAGCTACTTCTGAAGAATTTAGATATGTGGAGATAAATAATACTGGTGATAAGGAAGATGGATAAAGAAGTAGTGCTCATTCAGAAGGAGCATTGAAAATTCCTTAGTCACCTGCTACAGATGTCAGAAGATCCAACAGAGTGACGCGATCCGTGCATATGTATTCTCCTTCTTTACACTATCTGTTAATAACTGATAGTGGTGAACCAGAGTGCTTTGAGAAGAGCACTCAAGTTGAAGATTCAAGGGAATGGAAGCTTGCCATGGATGAAGAAATACAATCTTTGGAGTCAATTTATACTTGGGATTTCACGGTACTACCAAATGACAAAAAATTAATGAGCAACAAGTGGGTTTACAGACAGAAAAAGGAGTCATATTATTGCAAGCATTACAAGGGAAAAATTGCTGTGAAGGATTTCTATTATAAGAAAGGAGTGAATTATACAGAGATCTTCTCCCCAGTGGTGAAGAGGACTACTAACAGGGTTATATTGAGTCTAGTAGCAGTGGAAGATCTACATATGGAGCAGATGGATGTAAACACAATCTTTTTACATGGAGATCTGGAGGAGTTATATATGATGCAACCACTAGGTTACAAGGTTCTATGCAAGAAGGTTTGGTCAGGAGATTGAAGTAGAGCCTCTATGGCTTGAAACAAGCCCCGAGACAGTGGTACAAGAGCTTTTACAGATTAATGTAGACAATAGGCATATGAAGTGTCAGGTAGACCACTGTTGCTTCATCAAACACATTGATAACTATTATATTTTGCTTCTGTTGTATGTGGATGATATGCTGATTGCAAGGGGAGATATGCAGAAAATGAGGGACTTGAAGAGACTGTTATCAAATGAGTTCGAGACGAAGGATTTAGGTCCAATCAGAAAGATCCTCGGGATGAGAATCAGTAGGGACAGGGGTGCAGAAACAGTGAAGTTGTTTCAGGTAGAGTATGTTGAGAAGATTCTACAAATGTTCAACATGAGTGAGGCGAAACCAGTTTGCAGTCCCTTAGTCACTTCAAATTATCTGAGGAGCTATCGCCTAACTCTGAAGTAGAGCAAACACACATGGAAATTACTCCGTATGCTTCAGTAGTTGGAAGTTTGATGTATGCGATGACTTGTTTTAGACTAGATATTGCATATGCACCGAGAGTGGTCAGCAAATACATGAACAATTCAGACAGTTATCATTAGGAAGTGGTAAAGCGGATTCTCAAGTATTTGAGGGGAACAGTCAACATGGCATATTGTTATGGAAGTACAGAGATCAGTCTACAGGGTTTTGTAGATTTAGATTTAGCAGGAGATGTGAATAATAGAAGAAGTACAACGAGATATATCTTCACATTCAGGAACACAGCGGTGAGTTGGGTATCCGGGTTGCAGAAGACTGTTGCATTTTCAACTATAGAGGTCGAATATTTTGTTATTACTGATGCTAACAAGGAGATGATTTAACTACAAAATTTCATGGCAGAATTGGGCAAGGAGCAGGAAATTGGAAAACTCTACAGTGACAGTATGAGTGTGATTCATCATGCCAAAGATGCTGCTTTTCATGCCAGGATGAAACACATACAACTCATGTATCATTTTATTTGATCTCTTCTGGATGATGAACAATTATTTCTAGAAAAGATACATACAGCTGAGAATAGGGGTGTAAACGAGCCGAACACGAGCGTGTTCGTCTCGTTTATATTTCGAGCTCAAAAAGTGTGTTCGTGTTCGGCTCGTTTGCTTAGCGAGTCGATTATGAGCTGTTGATGAACAAAGAGTGATTTTGACAACCTTAGTCACGCAGCCATCAAATGTTAAGGATTGGGGCAAGATTTAAAACTTCATTTGAATCTAATTTAATAATTTTTATTATATTTTCATTATTAATATTTTTTAATTGATTATAAATCTTTGTGGCTTTGTAGCCAACTAATTTTTTAAAAAAGATTACTCATCAAAGATACATATATAATTGATTAGTAGTATTCCGAGCCAAAATGAGTCAAACACGAACGAACAAATATTTGTTCGTGTTCTACTCGTTAACTTAGTGAATGAGCCGAACACGAGCTGTTCGTGAGCAACGAGCCTTTTTGACAGCCCTAGCTGAGAATCCTTGCAGATATGTTAACAAAGGTGGCGATTGTTGAGAAAATGAAGCTATGCTTGACTTCAGTTGAGTTTCATGAAGGTTGAGACCAGGGTGAGCCACACCATGGTACGTGACCACAACGTGTGACTATGAAGGCGATTCATATGGAGATGCAGGTATTAAGGACAAGTGTTCTGTACAATCAGTCTCCAAGTGAGAGATTGTTATGAGTGGAGATTGATTTGGTGAGCAGCGGGATAGAGCACTCAACGTCTATGCGCCGGGTTGTGGGCACTTAAGCACCCACTTGGGTGCTTCTCGAATAGAGAAGCTGACGCCTATGTGCTGGTTTTGGGTGCATATGCGCCCATATAGGCGCTTGTTTACCGAAATTTTCGTGCATAGGCGCCAATTTTGGGCGTCTATGCTCCAGGGGCGGTTTGCAAGCGGGATTTGGTTTTAATTCTGAATTCGAGCAACAAAAATTGTAAATTTGCTATTTATTTCTTTGGTATTCTTCGACGAGAATCCCGGTGAAGGTGAGGAGTGTCGAATATGTGAATTTCCGTGATTAAGCGTGATTTTTTGCGTTGAATTGAAGAGGGAAGATTGTGGAGCGAGCCTTGTAAGTTTTATTTGTGTATGGAGAGAAAACTTGTGTGAGTTCTTTGTAAAACATTTTGTATTTCATAATGAAAAGATCTGGTGGTGTTGCTCTGTAGTTTTTTCTCGTTCTTAGGTTTTTTCATGTAAATTATTGTGTGTTTTTCCGGTTGCTTTGCTTGTGTTTCTATTTTAATTTTTGTTCCAGATTTTTATCGAATTAGTGCAACCCCATTATTCCGCCGCGTGTTTTTTTTTTAATTGATTCTAAGCCCCAATAAAGTTGAGAATTGTTCGTTGTGTGATTCCTATCAATCTTATGTGATAAGAAGATGTCCTTGAGATTTAAAATGTAAATTTTATAAAATCACAACTAGTCTAGAAATGTTTTTTGGATTCGAGCATTGGGCAAGAAAAAGTAGTTGATGTCTAATTTAATTGTGATAGAAATGAGAATACTAAGATAGTAATGTGACAAAATTAGAATTATAAATTGAAGCATGATTATATTACAAAAATTGCTGGAGTACATTTATTGATGATAAAACAAATAAAAATAGAATTAAATGATTTTCACATGTACAATATACGCTAGAAAATTTATCAATTAGATGAGTAGATGCAATTAATGCTAGAGGATTATAAACGAAAACAGATAGTCCTAAAATAACATGAATGCAGGAATTAGAACAATTTTTGAAGAATAGGTCTAACACCTTGGACAACACTTAAAAGGAACAAATAGAAAATAACAATTTGTAAAGCTAACGTCAAGTAGTGGGGATAAGGCTAATGATGATATTAATGTTTTTTAAGAATTGTGATTTGCAGTGGCTCCAATATCTGAATGAAAGAAATATTGTTGAAACTTTCTAGATTCTAAAATCTCTGCAAATGTCAATTAGTTTTCTGTTTTAACAGGTTTGCTTAAAAAATTTCCTCCACCAAATGTCTAGATATGAATGATTTCCTTTTATAATATTCTTGTAGGTCTGCTTTGGGGCATGCTTTTTGATGACTGACAAGAATTTAGACAAGCTGAACTCTCTTAGATGCTTACTTTTACTTAGATGATTATTGTTTAAAGGGAACCATGATAATTTACTGTTTAAATCACTTATCACTCATTTGCATAATTTTTTATAGATTATCCTTCTTGATTGGTTACAAGTTTCTGAATGTTCAGGTCTACAATTCAAACGATCATAGTCGCATTATCATTATCTGTGGTCCTGGTAATAATGGTGGTGACGGCCTTGTAGCTGCTCGCCATCTTCATCATTTTGGTTATCAGCCATTTGTTTGTTATCCGAAGCGTACAGCCAAGCCTCTATATTCAGGCTTAGTAACTCAGGTAGATATTGTTTCATTTGTAGCCACTTTTTTCTGGATATTATCAAATGAACCTTCTTTTACTAATGCAATTTTGTAGTTGGAATCTTTATCAATTCCATTCTTGTCAGTTGACGATCTACCTCGGAGTTTATCTGATCATTTTGACATTATTGTAGATGCAATATTTGGGTTTTCATTTCATGGTAAGCCAGCTCCATTATTCTTCTTGTCTTAAAAGTTTTGATCATTTGCATTGATGATTTTATTTTCAGTACAGATTGTTTTAGTTTATTATAACATGTTCCATGCTGATTTAGATTTTTCTTAGTACTTGTTTTTATTAATCTAAAATTAATTTTGAGTGATCTAACCACTACTTCAACTCCAAGTTAGGTCATTCTGGAATGAATGAAACTAGATTCTTAGAGATCTATGCATAAAAATGTGCAAATTTTTAAATGTTTCATGCTTTACTGCAGCAGCAAATTTGAAATGTTGGGATGAATTTGGTAAAGAAATTATTCTTGATAGATTCTAAATGCATCATGGATATAAAAACGTGATTTGATGTTATAGAATGAAAGATTTATTGAGTTAAGTCTATGTTTGATGAAAACCGCCTATGCAAAACTCATACCTTGATGAGAAAGGGTGAAGGCTAAGGTTAGGCTAACAACCATAGATAACACACTAACTCCAATGCTAAAATCAATGAAATAACTTTAAGTCAATGTCTAGTGTATGGTGCTTTGCAAAAGTGCCTCATTATGACATATCCCAGATGTAGTGGAGTGTGGTTAAAGTTTAATTAATACATAACTTTAACCTGCAATCATCATTACCATTTATAGTGAGTAGAGGGTAAGCGGTTAATATATAATGATATTAATTACAAATGATGTTCCCCATACTCATCATCATTAGCTTTATTGGAGCCCTTTAGAGTTGGTTTTATGAACTCTCTTCTCCCTTTCTTTTTGTTGAGTGCATATATGTTAATTATAATAGTGCGATATGCAGTGTTACTGCATAAAATTTATCAATGTTAGCTTTGATATACTCATTATACTTTGTAATTCATGCACTTTTTTATATTTTCATCTTTGTTAGTACATATTTTACCTTCTTAAATTATCTATGTTACCTTTTTTTGATTGATGCCACTCATGCTATCCCTTTAATAGAATCCGTTTTCAATATATACTCCGTTTTGGCACAATTTATTTTAATCAAATATCTCATTGATTATAAATTTGCTATCATTTACTTCTTTATTGTTTAGTGCTTCAATTCATATAGCCTAGTGCTCTAAGTATGGTTTTATAACTTTACCTTTATTTGCAATGATGCTTTCTTACATCATAGAACCGATGAGGTACTTTTTTAATTTTAATATTTATTGATAAATTCTATTATCATCTATCACTGTTTTTATATCATATACGATAATCTAATGCAATCACATCTTGGCATTGTCTAATTGACTAGCAATATTGATTGATGAACATCAATTTCACATATTTAAAATTGCATGCCATATAATTTATCTTTGTTTTAGTAATTACTAGCCCTTAACTCTTAAAAAAAATCCTCCATCCTTATTTTTGTTTACTCATGTCATGCCCTAATCTGGGATTTGAAATGTTTCAATACGGGAACATACAGTTGAACAATGATGAACAAAATTTTCTATTTTATTTTTTTGTAACAAACATTTAACCATCTCAAAAATAAATAAAAGATACATTACAAATTTGCAAATAAAATTAAACAAATAATAAATTGGTCTTAGTTCAGGGTGCCCACATCTTTTATAAATATTTCGTTCTCTATTACTAATCTTTAAAAAAAAATTTTAAACCTATAAGGTTAATTTAAAACAATAGTAAACTATAAAAACTAATGTGTATTAACTCTTCTAGATTATAGTAACACAATTAGACATAATAAATTAGTATAAAATAATAGATAATTTATTTTTTCAATAAGATTGTTCATAATGATTTTAAAGCATTCAATGTGTCTCACTATATCAATTACATAACTATATCCTTACACACACATACACGCAAACACACATTGACACACTAACACACACACATACTTACAGCCGTCATAGGAGTATTGTCTAAAATATGTATCAATCAAGAATATCAATAATTTCTTTTCTTTACATGCACGGGTGTCTTAGCGTACTTACTAGTACCATAAGAGGGTGAACTTCATCATGGTCAATATGCATATGCAAACATATTATACATTCATATCATTTATATACTCGTTTCATTCACTTATATACTTTATTTATTCTTAAATAATGTGCAATAGTATGTATTATTAAAAATATATCATTCCCAATGATATGACCAATAAATAAAATAACATATAAATTAGAAAAAAGCTTATGCAAATACCAATGACCACTAATGAAAAATGGATGAGAAGAAATAAAATATCACATAGGTTAAAGGTATGAATACTCAAATTGCTAAAAGTGTAAACAATATTCCTTGCTTTTGACGATGGGATTGACTCTTCATAACATGAAATCCTAGGTGAACTTAGGGCGGTGTTTGGCTGTTGCCCAGATTTACGTTTATAAGATTTATCAAATGTGCGGAATCCAGCTAGTTCACGATGGAGAGAGTAAGCATGTGAGAAACGGTGGCGTAAATCCGTGTAATTCGCTTGATAGTCAGATTTAATAAAATACTGATTTACTTAGCAGAGGAGACGAAAGGGAGATGGTCGAATTTAACAGACAGTTGGATTTAGTTTTCTCTCTTTTTGTTGTTTGGTTGGATTTAAGTGAAATTCATGGTTAAATCCTATTAAAAGTGTGCTACCAAACACACCCCAAAACAAAGTATAAGATTCCTATAATTATTCAAAATATTTGTTTTTATTAACTCTTGATTTGATTCATTCTATTGAAACTTAATATATAAATATAAATATGTTGAGTTTAATCGTATCACATATGTTATATTATTTTTAGGGTTGTGAAGTTAGCCCGAAGATTGTTAATCACTTGAAGATTGATTTGAAATCACTTGAAGGAATTTTGGCTCGGATCAAGATCGGATTGAAATAAATGAGCCGAGCTGCGAGCCAAAATTTTGGATCAAATTTTTCTCGAGTTGATTTTAAGCCAACCCCAACTCAGTTCGAAATCGAATCTTTAATAGCTTATATCTGTGAATTTAGTGAATTTCGTTCGAAGCTTGTTAATCGCTTAAAAATTGATTCGAAATTTGTCTCGGATCGAGATTAGATCGAAATTTGGCTTGGATCAAAATGAAACACATGAATTATCCTTAAATTTTCATGAAGAATTTTAGATCTCATTCACTAAGATGAAAAAATAGATACAATAAAATAAAGATCTGATACAAGATAACTCAACTAAGCTTTCTCCATCAACCGATATGAAATAACAATAAAAATAACACCACATTATGGAAAGTAATATAACTAAAACAACACATACCATCAAAAACATCAATACTTAACATAAAATACCTGGAATGATACGTCTATAACTTGAAAGAAAACACAACCACTCCTCGATTTCTATTAGCATCGGTATCAGTACCAACATCAACATTAACATCAACAATAGTAGTTTCTTCTAGTCTCTATGTGAAAGGGTATGAACACATGGTTGAACTGATTGTCATGGTTGACCATGAGTGGGAGATGAAGTTATTCACTCTATCATTCTTTCTCCACTTGTGGTATTCTGTGAAGGAGCTCCACTTAATTTTTGGTCTTCAGATGTCTTCTGGCCTATAAGGCAGTATCTAGCTATGTGATTAGGTTGACAACACCAATAACATGTATTGGAGCCCATCAAACATTGACCCATTGTAGCCTTCTACATTTGACACAAGAGACTACATTATTTCGAATCATGGCACTACTAGATCCACATGAACTGAACTTGGGCTTCTTCTCATTGGATTCCTTTGGTTAAGTCATGTGTTCTCCTTCATCCACTATTCTTATTGTATATTTACATATGCTTCTGAGTAAGCTAAAAATCAATCTCTACTCATCTGGCTCGCTCTACTAATACAGAGTAATCATCATTTCCAAAGCCACCAACAACCGTCTGATTGAATCCTTCATAAAAAACTTGTAACACTTTTCTTCTACAGTATTGATCAACTATGGTCTATATCTTATTAGTGCAGCAAATTCTGCTTCATATTGCATGACTATCTTCTCTCCATGCACCAATTTAATGACCTTGTCCCACATCTGTTTTTGAGTAGATAAGGACACAAAACTCTATCTAAGAAGTTTGACAAAATTCTCTGAATTTACCATCATGTTGAAATATCTCTTAGCCTGTCCTGACGCTACCCACGCTACCACCTTTCTGCGTATTCATCCATATGAAATATAACTAACGGTATTCTTCTTTCATTTGGATATTCCTTGCTATCTATTATCTTTTTTGTTCGCCTTAACCAATTCTTGGCTTCCAACAGATTTTTCAGCTCCCTTAAGCAAAGGTGGATGTAAATCTTAAATTTTCTTCAAATATTTATCCACAACAACGTTATCATTTCCATTAGGCTGTGATCTAGACTTCTAAACTAGGAGTGTCATCACTGCCATCATCTAGGATAGGTCATTTGTGTTCACAATTATAACAAGAAATACTTCCTCATTTCCTACTAAATTTCCCTCTTTTATAATCTTCGGTGTATCCATTTGCGTGATATAAAATAATTACTTGATTAAAGTTGACTTTCAACTTTCAATTTTCTTATATTAAATTTCTTATAATTACCTAGTGGCTCTTTCATTAAGGTTGTGTTGCTCCCAAACTTTGTGCTATGATATCACTTTTATTACGAACCAGTCTAGGGTTTGAAATTTTACAAGATAGGAATAGACAGACGAACGGTGATAAACAAAATCTTTTATTCTTTTGTTCTCTAACTAATGGTTAATCATCTAAAAGATAAATGCAAGTGCCATTACAATTTGAAAATTAAAATTAAACAAATGATAAATTTATTCTAGTTTAGGTTTTCTATATTTTTTATAACATTCCATTCTTTATTACTCATATTTAAACAAAATTTTTAAATATGAAAATTTTAATTTGGAACAATAATGAGCTGCAAAAGTCATTTAGTACTAATTCTTTTAAGTTATAATAATATAATAAAAAAATAATATGCATGCT